TGTATAATCCCCCCTCCCATTTTCCCAGAGTAGAACGTGTAGCAGGCCTGAAATATTCCAGGTCTGAGACGAGGTTCTGCAGCGCCCGAGGCGGTGTTCTCCTACCTGGGTAGGGATCTCCACTGTCACACCTTCTGGGAGGCCCCTGCGCCAGAGATCTAAGGGAGATCTGTTTGCCTAGGAGCAAGAGAGCCTTTCTAGTTAGGTTTGTCAGGGGAGCTCTGCTAATCTTGGATCTCTTTTCCAGGACCGGGTCATCTATCGAAGCCGCCACCCAAATGAGATCCATGCTGTGAAGTACTCGGCCTGCTTTGGGATCAGGACGTCCGATCACCGCCCTGTGTATGGCTTGTTCCGTGTCAAAGTGAGACCTGGGAGGGACAAGTGAGTAGGGCTCTCCTTGAGGGGCCTTTTGAAAAGGCTTCGTCCTCCCAATTGGGCCTGCATTGCAACACTTTGGTCTGAGCTGTGACTTGGAGCTGGGATGGCAAACCTATGGCATGCATGGCACAGGTGGCACACAGCCTCCTCTCTGGGCACACCAGCTGTCGCCTCAGCCCAGCTCCACCGTGCATGTGCGTGCCTCCCACCAGCCAGCTGGTCTTCGGGTCTCTGCCATGCATGCGCAGGGATTGGGTCGCAGGTAGGGAATGTGCTTAGAGGGGGGTGGGGGATCAGATTGCATTTTAGGGGGGGGGGTCCCTTGGCCCGTTTTGGCTTCCAGGCTGGTGCAGGCAGCCTTCCAAGTGGGGCATTGCATTATGGGTGCAGATGGTTTTGGCACATTGACGCCCAAAAGGTGAGCCATCCCTGACTCGGAGGCTGGGTGATGAAGCCAGATGGCAGCCTTTGTCCCTCAGGGCTGGGATCAGGAGCTGAGGAGGATTGAGGCTTTGGCTCTGCATTGGGATGAAATCACCGGTCTGAACTAGACCAACCTACCTGTGAGAAGGCAGAGAGCCCTCAGCCACCCCATACCTGGGCTCTCCCGCTGAACTGCCCTTCGTCCTTAACAACGGGGGCTCAAGGGATGGATATGAAACCCACCCCTTTATGCAGGGTCTCTAGCCTCTACCTAAGAGAATGCAGGGCTCTGTATTTGTAGCTCTTCTTCTTCGCTATTCAGAATCTCACAGGAGCCAAGCCTAGAAAGATTTTATACAGTCTTGTGGTCATTTCTTTTTGAAGACATTTTCATTTTGGCATCTGAGCCATTGCACAGCAGGCCACATTCTGTGGAAAGGTTACCGACCCAATTAAGGGGTGGGGGTGGGGAGAAACTGGTGCTTTAATCCAATTACCGCTGGTGCTTCCAGGCCGTGCAAAGATGGAAGTGAGGCAAAATCAGGATGCCCATTGGAATGGCCCCCCCAGATTGTAACACAATATAGGTTTGTTTAAATTTTCACCAGCTGGTGTGTGCTTTGTCCCCTTCACCCACAGCATCCCACTGGCTGCAGGCCTGTTTGATCGAGAACTTTATTTGATTGGCATAAAGAGACGGAGCAAGAGGCAGCTTCAGAAAAAACAAGCTGTGAAAAACCAGAAATCCAGCGCCGTCTGTTCTGTTTCCTGACCAAATCCATTAACCCGAGAACTTCTGGGGCGAGTGGAAGGGCTTGTGGACCAGGTCTCCTTCAGCGCATTCTCTGAAACCAGGCTGGGGAGGGGCTTCCACAGGGCCCCAAAAGCGAAGAGCTCTTTGAGGCTGGGAACGGCTGGGCAGCCAAGGGATCAAGATTTACCAAGCATGGAGCTTCTTCCTGCTCGACAGGCCGTTGTTCCTGTATCCTGTTGCTTGAGGAAAGTAAACCTGCAGGGTGTTGGCATTTACACCAGCCACAAACATTTCTTAGGTTTTCTGAGGATCATACCTTGGGAACAAAGGAACACATTCTCTAAGCTTTGTTTTGTTCACCTGCAGCTGAATTAGAGTCTAATTTGGTCCCACAAACCAACATTTTTCCTAAGAATTCTAGAAAGGTCCCTGAAATGCCAGATGGGCAAGGGAAGACTCAGAAAGCACCAGCATGGGAGTCTATAAGACAAGCCAGCTTCCACCAACTACATTTTTTTTTAAATCCATTAACTTAAGAAATAGTGGAAACCAGTTTCACTCAACACACAGCCTTGACTGGCTGCAAAAATCAGTATTTTCAATAGCAAAGGCCAATTTTTAGCCAATGCCAACAGTTGATAGTTAAGAAATGTTTTCCCCTTCATCATTTTCCTGGATTGTGTTTCAGTTTGCAATTCCTTGAAATAAAAGGATGATCCAGAACTTTTAAAATGTGTCCCAAGTGTTCTTCAATCTCTGTACTGCTGATATGCTTGTATTCCTACCTGGAGCTAATTTAAATCCTCATCAATGGAAGTCCAGTATTTTCAACATGCAATACACGTTTCCCCTTTAGGATACATAATTAAGCATTAATTGTAAGATTCAGAATGTAGATGTATAACATACACATTGCTTGTAGAGCTGGGTTGTGGCAAAGGGCTGATTCCCAGAGCAGGGGTCTCCAACCGTGGCAACTTTTAAGACTTGTGGACTTCAACTCCCAGAGTTCCTCAGCCAGCTTTGCTGGGAGATGAAGCCCACAAGTCTTAAAGTTGCCACGGTTGGAGACCCCTATCCCAGAGTATTCTTCCAGCCTGCAATGTGGCAACTCCATGAAGGAAATCTCGGTTCAATTCCTTACCAAGCAAACCCCCACGGAAGTAGTGCTTCATAGCAAATTCCAGCTTTAGCAAATGCGCCCAAGACTCCACTCTAGCATCTCTTTTGCTCCCCATGGGATGAACCATCAGGACAAGGAGGCTGGCAAAGAATCCCTCCAGGGAAGAGGAACAGGAAGATAACTGGGCTGAGGCTTCAGGGAGTTTTCAGTCCTCTCCTGCCTCGGCAAACAGACCAGAATCCTTTCCTCTCAACAGGAATCCCTTGTTGCATTGGGAAAAAGGAGGATTTTTGTCAGCCAGCAGAGACCAGAGGAGGGTCTGTCTCCCTGCAAAAACAGGTCTCCAGGCTGGGTGATAAACATTAAATGTACAATGAACTGGACCAATAACTTAATGCCACATACATGGTTCTAGAGCATTTTTGGTACTTCTCAAAGATGGCTCAAATTAACAATAGCCTCTGAAAAGTCCGTTATAACCTGAATTAGAACTAATGGCCTCCATTCAGTCTGCGCTCATGTCACCACGATTTGGGCATTTGGCAACTGGCTCTCCTACGCAACCAGTTGTAGCATTAAGGTCACAAATGTGATTTGTGACTTTTTTCAACCAGTTTCTGGTAAAAATAACCGGTTAAGCTGGATTCACACTTACGACTGCGGTGACTTGAGTTACTATTGGTGTAAAGAGATTTGTGAAGTCAGATCCAGTCTCATCGGGGTCTGACAATTTGCATCAACCAACTCACCATGGCTCACTTCCCCACAGCCAATTTGCGCAAGGCAACTCACTAATATCAGAGAAATGATGGGATAGAAGCATTAAAGAAAGGATGCAGGAGGGGCAGAATAAACTGGCAAAAATTATTTTTTTCATTTATTTTAAATAATTAACCCAAATTATTAAAATTGTCCTGTGGAGAGTTGGCCGCAGCGAGTTGTGTCAAGTTGTCCCATTCCTGTCACACAAGGTCTCAATTTATGACAACTTGTAACAGAAAATCTGGTTCAAATTGTGGTCCTCTTGGGGTCAAGAGTAACAGAAAAAAAACTGATTGCAACTAAAGACGCAATGTAGACTCTAAATAAATCTCCCAATCTTGAAATTCAGTTTTGTTGCTACCAATTCAAAATACAATTGCACTCTGATTTACCACTCTTAATGTAAACTTAATTTTGGAAACAAAGGTCAACATTCCAGTGTGTAGCACCCTCATTAACTCTTTTCTCCGTATTCTTCACCATGGATTACACCAGGCCTTGGGCTCAGACTTCATTGTCCCTTAATTCAAGACACCGAGGACAGGAATTTGGAATAGCAAAATAGCCATCTGATGTGTAGGAGCGGCTCTCTTCGGCTGCCCGGCCTCCATCTTCTCACGGAAGTCTGAGTCTCACAAAATGAGTTATCTTGAGGATGAACAGAATTTGAACAGGCATGTGGAGAATGGCGCTGCCAACCACCCTCCTCCAATGCCCAATGTGTGCGCACCAAGCTGTCCTCCAGGCAGGCGAGAAGCACCTGGGGCAAGGGACGGCTCGTCTCTGCCGAATGTGTCGGTGGGGCAGCTGCCACTTTAGCGGAAGAGCCGGTACACCCTGGGCAGCCGCCCGTCCTTGCTGGAAAGGGCGCCCTGGATGTGCTCATAACTGGGCAGTTCCCGCAAGTCCCCCAGGGCAGCCACCGTCGGCTTCTTCCGCAGCATCTTCGTTGCTACCCGTTTGATATCACCGGCGCTCACTTTGCCTGGGCAAAAGGGAAACAAAGGCCAGCAGCATCAGCTTGTGTGGCTCCGTGTGACACTGGCTGCCACACAAGGCTGCCCCACGACGACAGGGGCCAAGTTACCTCAGAATTGGCGGAGAATGGGCCCCAGAGACCCCAGAGGAGTGGAGCGAGAGAAAGCCCAAGGGGAAGGCACTCCGGCTGGAGAGGCTGGTGAAATTCCCCAAGGGCAGGGTGGATAAAAATAGATAATAATAATAATTTTTTTAAAAAAAATCAGATTTTTAAAATTTAAATCTGATTGTTATTTTTATCAAATTTATTTTAATAAAATGCTTTTGGAGTAAAAATCTATCCAAAGATAGTTTTCTATTTCAGATACATTAATAATTTAGTGGAGCTTAGTGATGTAGCATGAGGCTGTCTATTCTGGAATATTTACATTTTTGGTACACTCATTCAATGAATGCAAGCGGAGATAACATGCATTACGTTGATGCATTCACACAATTTCATAATAACCATGAGATAAATCATGAAACAGTTCAGGAAGATTCCTTCATCCCTTTGTTTTGCAAATCTATGGACATTACAATCTGTATGATTGTTTGAAGAGAAATGCATCTTTGCCACCATCAGTGTGAGGAGGAAGGGCAAGCAGTGCAAATGTAAGTGAAATCCTCTAAGCAGCTTAAAAATATAATATTAAAGAGCAGCTGTCATTTCAGATCCATCATGGCAGTGCCTGTTAATGGGCATCCACTCACCTGTTGCCAGCCACGTCCCTCACCCTGTTGTGTCCCTGGCACATCACCAGCCGTTCCGTTAAAGCGAATGGGACGGTTGGTGAGTCAATGGGGGGATCAGAGGAGGAGCCGCTGTTGGACAGAGACGACAGCTGCTCTTTTAAAACTACGATATAAATGTAGTTGATTTAAATCAAGCCCTTTTACTAGTCCTTTAAATAGACTTGATTTAAACCAAATCCCACCCTGCACAAGGGGGCTTGGGGCAGCAGAGCAGGGAAGGTGGGCTCACTTCGGAAGCAGACTCAGAAACCAAGCCCCCCCCCCCCAACTTCCTCAGCTCAAGAGGGGAGGCTCCATTGAGCTGTGGCCTGGGAAGCTGAGCCTGCCACTTACCGATCAAGGCGCAGAGCTCCTGGGGCAGCTTCCTCCCTCCCGTGGCCAGGACCTGCCTCCCAACATCCTCAAAAATGACCGGCCGGGACTCCAGGTTCATCATCAGCATGGACCGCAACTGGGTCTTGGCCCGCTCCAGCTCGACCTGGAGGAAGAGGCAGAGGGTTGCTCCAGCCTCTCATCCGAGCCCAAAGTCCCAACATGAATCCTCCTCCCCAGCCTCTTACCTCTCCCAGGGTCCCAGCCATCAGAACAAATTCCCGGGTAATGATCTCCACCATTTCACGGACCTGCAATCGAGGAGGAGGGGCAGAGGAGGAGTGGGGCGTGAGACCCCGTTCAAGGCCTCCCCCTTTCTGAAGGCCTCTGGGGTGAGGCCAGGCCAGTCAAGGGGGCACTGGGGACGGCTGCTCCCTCCCTCCCTCCCTCGCCTGCTGCCCTGGTAGATGCAACCCAATCTCCAATTGGCTGAGAGGACCTGTCTGGCAGGTGAGGGGTCCCTTCTGAGGACCAGCTCACCTGTCTGGGATCTGCGCTGGCATGAATGCACAGGAGTCCGGTGTCCTCGTAGCTGTGGTGGTAGGAGGTGGCGTTGTACATCCAGTGGTGCCTGGGGGGGAGGGAGAGAGCAGCAGAGACGGGAACAGGGGTGAATATCAGCATCCTCGCAGGGCTCCCTAAGAGCCTCTCGCAACTGTGGGTCCTCCTCCAGAGTTGGACCACCTATCCCATCAGCCGCAGCTACCGGCTGGCCCAGGAAAGGCCAAGGTAACAGCCACAGTCAGATTCCTGAAGGATTCTGCCAAACTCACACATACATTCATTCATCTGGTTGACTCAGGCTACAATTATTGTGAGGAAAGGCCCACTGTGGATCTGCCACTCCACGTGGTACTCCAGGGGGTTGGGGGCTGCCTGGGATAACCTGCTATGTTCCTCTCGTTGCAGGACACGACCATCAGTTATTGGGGGGGGGCAGCCTGTCAGCCCTGGAGGCCATCTTTTCCTTTGGGTCTTCAGGGCTGCCACAACTGGTGCTGTGGGAAACTGGGAGGGTGGATTTCATGGAGTTGCAAGGAAATCCAGTCATAACAACGTTCTATTCTCTGGGAGCCAAGGACATTCAGCCCGCACCTGGAGTGGTGTGACTGGGAGGCATCTCCAACTGGGATGATTGGGACTGACTGGCCCATGTGATGGACGTGGGGGTGCAGGGTGCATGTCCATCACACGGTCCCCAGATGCTTTTCTGGAGATGGTCAAGAAAAGGGCTGCTCAGTCACCACAAAGGAGACAGGGATAGCTGGACCCAGGGCAAAATCAGAATCGAGCCATGGGTGGGATGGAAACCACCCAGGTTGTCCCCATCAATGAACTGAGCCTGGAGGGCGGCGGCACAGCTCTCTCAGTGGCCTTCCAGCCTTGTGACTGCAGGGTCCTCCTGGACTGCTGCGGAGGCCGGAAAGAGGGGCATCCCTGTATGGTGGCTCTCCTTCTCCTGGAGTGGATGGTTCCCTTGCTGGCTGCATGGAGAAGGTTCAACTCGCCTGGGGTGCTAGTAGGGATCCTGCAGGGCTCAGCCCCCTCCCCCACTGGAACTTAATGTCTATGAGAGAAAGACACCCCCCCCCCCCGGAATGGGATGATGGCTGGTGGCTCCCATCTATCGATCCCTACCCTGGGCAGAATGGGAAATCTGGAAAGTCCTGGGAAGCTGGAGTGGGGCCAAGCACTGAACACAACCCACGTATTGTCCAGGCAATCGGGGACGTTGAGTGAGACACTTTGCAAGACGAGGGGGAGACTTTGGCCCCAAAGAATTTGCCTGGCTTAGGGGACATTCTCAGGAGCCTCCAACATGCTGCTCTTTGCTGCTTTGGTGTCAATCGTGGTGACGGAGTGTCGGGAGCAGAGAGGATGGCCTTGAGGGAGGAGGATCCGTTACCAAAGCAACAAACTGATCAATGTGGCTGAGATTTGCAAAAAGGCTTATGGCAGCCCCCCCCCCTTCAATCCACGTGAAGGGGGAGGGGGGGAGGCACAGGGGTTTGCTTGGTTTAGGTTTAGTCTGTTGTCTATTTGTAGCAATAGCACTGTAGACCTATATAGCACTTCAGTGTTTTACAGCCCTGTCTAAGCGGTTTACGGAGCCAGTCTCTTGCCCCCAACAAACTGGGTCCTTCTTTGACTGAGCACGGAAGGCTGAGTCAGCCCTGAGCCGGTGACATTCCAACTGGCAAATTGCAGGCAGATGGTAGTCGGCAGTAGCAGCCCACAGTTCTGCCCTCTAACCACTGCGCCACCGTGGCTCTTGCAAAACCATTATTGATGGCTTAGAAGAACCCTGGAGCTCTCTCACTGCTGGGTTAGCCAACACAGAGACAATGAAAGCGAATTAGGCTTTGGCACAATGTGTCAACTGGCTACACATTTTTACTCCTTTCTCTCTTTGGACACTCCTCCCCAAACCAAAAGCCCCCTGCAGCACCGTGACCCTGGCCTTCTTCCCCCCCCCCCTCCCCTGGCTTGTCTCTGCTCTTGGCTCTTTCTTCTGAGAAGCCGAGGGACATACCGGTTGAGGACGTTGAGGTACAGCCTCGTGAACATGCCTTTGCCAGGGCCTCCAGCAGAGAAAGAGCCACCGCCCCCCATCATCATGTTCAAGACGGCAAAGGGGATGAAGTCTTCCTCCTGGACCAGGGAAGCCAAACCAGATGGTCACGCGGGGACGTCCACGCAGAAGGGCCGCCACAGAAGGGGAGGGAGGCTTACCAGAAACGAGCAGCTTTCTAGTCCAATCATGATGTGGGCCAACTCTGGGATGGGGGTGGGCCCTAAACTCACGTCTGACATGTCCTTCTCCAGCTGCAGAAAGAGGGAGAGATTCCCTGGAATTTGGCTTTTGTGAGAGTAGCTGGCCATTGGCTCTAGAGCAGGGGTCGCCAACCTTAAACCTGGTGGACTTCAACCCCCAGAATTCCCCAGGCAGCTTTGTTTTGCTGGCCGTGGAATTCTGTGAGTTGAAGACCATCAGGCTGAAAGTTGCTGAGGTTGGAGACCCCCTGCTCTACAGCGTTCTTTTTACCTTCAACTTTGCTTTTGACGGCTTTTAACACTTGGGCTGCCTTGTGATTATTTTTAGAGTTGCAAGTGGCTCTTCATGTTCACCTTGGAAGAGGCACAGAGTCTACCACTACCTCGACATACGACTGTAATGGAGGCTGTCCATTAGGGTCACAAGTTGGGATGGTCGTTAAGTGAGGCTTCCATGTGACTGCTTCACTCAACAAGTGGCCCAAGACCTTCCAATTCTAAGAGAGACGATCTCTTCCTTATCCTTTGAATTGTAATTTAATATTGTGCCTCCAGTTGTTAATTTTTATACTTTTGACTTCTTAACCTCGATACGATGGCTGATCCAACTGCTATTAGCACAACTGCATCCATTGAAACCCCATTTCAAATCATAAGAAATCACTTTACAAAACCCAAGAGATGCAAAGGAGGTTTGGCTTCCCACGTGCTAATAATGAGTCGGCCCTGAACTGCAGGTGAGGTTTTCTGTTCTTTCTGCAGCCCCTGGCAAGACGAGCAGAGGCCGCCTCCCCTTCCTCACCTTCAGGATCCCTCCCGTGTACTGGGCAACCGACTTGTCCACATCCTTGGCTTCCCCACTTCCCCACGCTGGAACAGCTCCCAGGAAGTACTTGCGAGCACAGTCCACAAGCTGCTGGTGTTCAATCCCCACGCCAGCCAACACCATCCTGTCGGGGGTGTAGTAATTCCTCAGATACGAGTGGAGGACCGACCTGTCAATTTTCTCAATGTTGTCCACAGGACAGAACCTGTTCAACCCCACAGTGTTTTCCCTGTAGGCTGCCTGTGGGAGATCAGGACAAACACGATTTTCAAAAGAAACCCCAAGGCAATGACAAAACATTTGCAACTTCCCTTACAGTTAGCCACGTGCACCAAAACACAGGAAGAGTCTTTGCTGCTTGACTTGGTTGATAAAAATACAGCTCTAGTGAGCATAAGGGAGCAATTACCTGAGAAAGTAACCACCTCTTCTCAAGGCTCTCCTAAGCATTATGCAATGGATTCCACTTTCATGGTGTGATAAACCTGGATTTGAACCCAGGTCTCTCTGATCCGTGGCCTGAGCTACTGAGAACCTCTTGCTTCCCAGCTCTTTGAAGAAATTTGCCTCTGCCCCCAAAGTCAGGGCCTGCAAGCACTTTGGACCCAAAGGGGGGCTTTGCAGTAGAGATGGGTGCACATGCAGATGAGAAGGTACCTCCTTAAAGACGGTGCGTCACATCGTGGGCTGCACAATCCCAGCAAAATACAAATTTCAGTTAAGGAAAAATCAAAAGTATCCCACACCCTTCTGAAGCACAATGTCACACCCCATCAGTTGGAAGGAAAGATGCAGCTTGCGGGGGGGGGGGGGGGGCATTCATACAATGCCCTATTTTGACTTTGCATTCCCCAGACTGAATATTTCCTTTCACTTCCCAGATTGCAGGCGGGAACCCAACCTTAGCAAAACGAGGGTTTTTTTAAAAATCTGATTGTGCCCCACCTCACATAAGGAACCCCCATTGCTTATCATAAAAAAGACAAACTTGTGTTTCATCTGAAAACTATTTCAGATCCACCGTTGAAAGGGCATTTTCAACAGCACTCAGGAAGCCACCACGGGACCCTCAAATTCCTTAGGGGTTGCCTTCCTTGGCCTGCTGATAGTTCTTCCCCCAAGCCAGGAGATTAGGAGGAGGCCACTGAAGGGCTCAGGGGCTTCGTGGGGCAGAATGCCAGAGGGCCTTACTGCATGGATCATCTCGGTCAGCAATGGCTCTGGATCGGGTCTCATGTTCAGGTCCTGCAGCTCAAAGCGGACGGCCATCTGAGTCATCTCGATTTCCTCATCTGCCAAGAGAAGCCAACGCTTTGGATCCAGGCCGAACCTCCTCCCAAGGGACAATGGCCCCAAACCCCTGGAAGGGGAGGGAAACTGCTCCCCATTTTCAGCCACGAAATCCCACAGAATCAACCTGTCTTTCTTCCCAGCTGATAAATTTGATTGGGCACACCCACCTACACCCCTCCCACCATCTTGGTCTCTCCCACTCCTGTCCTTCCAAATTGTGCCACTGCACCACATTCTCCGCTGGCAGAAATCACTGACACCTTTACGGCAACGCCATTTGCGTTCAGGTGGGGCAGTGAAATCCTGCCTTGGGCTCTTGCTCTCTTTTCTTCATGCGCAGAAGACTCCCTAACGATCTCACCCGGCAATCTACTTTTTTTAACTATTATTATTATTATTATTTATTTACTAGAAGATTACCTGACAGTCTGGGTTGGAGAACCACATCAGCCAACAGACTGACCATGGCATCAAGGCCCCTGCTGTCTGCAGAAACAGCATACATTGTGGTATCCCTGAAAGAAGAGCAAAATTGGTTTTGTGTTCTACCCGGGTCGCAGGGTCTTCACCTAGGCACGTTGAAGACCCTGCAACAAAAACCTTAAAACTTTCGGGCGGAAAACAGCCCACTGCATCACTCAAATCAAACTCAAAACTCCCATTAGCCTCGCTGTGAGGGGTGGAGGGGATCCCATAATAAAACGAGGGGGGGAGGAAGAAGTATGCGATATGTAATAGGGTTATGCTCAAAAGCCACATCGGTTGGCAGGGATTTGTCAAAGCACAGCCTGGCCAAAGGACGCCCAACAGAAAACAGACCTTGACACCTGGCAGTCACAAATTCCTCCATGCTTCTCCAACATGAGGAGGATGTCATCCTTGCTGCTAAACTGAGCCGTAGACTAAAGAGAAAAGGAGGGAAACAAAGCAAAAGAGTTCATTTTTTAGGGAAAATTCAGTCAAGGCAAAATAAAATTTAACTAAATTACATGCAGTGAAATGGTAACACGCAATAACCATTTTCCCTGGGATGTAATATTAAGAGGTTTTTGCTGGCAGCTTTTGGAGAATTGCAGCAATGTGCAGCAGCAGCCAAAAAACCGAATACAATCCTGGGTTGTATAAACAGAGGCAGAAAATCAAGATCAGGTGAAGTGTTAGTGCCACTTTATAAAACCCTAATGAGGCCACACGTGGAATACTGCAGTCAGTTTTGATCTTACTGCAAAAAAGAAGTTAAAAGAGTTTTGAAAAAGTTCAGAGAAGAGCAACTACGCTGACTAGAACATATGAAGAACGGCTGCAGGATTTGGGTGTGGCTAGTCTAGAGAAAAGAAGGACGGGGGGGGATATGATAGCTGTCTTCCAGTATTTGAGGGTCTGACATAAAGAGGAAAGGGGGGGGGGGTGTCAACTTATTTCCCAAAGCACCAAAGAAGGCAGGATAAGAAACGGGTGGAAATTAATCAAGGAGAGAAGCAACCTGGAATTAAGAAGGAATTTCCTGACAGTGAGGACAATGAACCAGTGGAACAGCTTACAAGAAGTTGTGGGAGCTCCATCCAGCTCTTTTAAGAAGAGACTAGATAGTCTCTTGTCTGAGATGGTATAGGTTCTCCTGCTTGAGCAAGGGGCTAGACTAGAAGACCTTCAGAGGCCCTTCTAGCTCTATTGTATTCTTATTCTTTTCTAACCAAGGAGAGAAGCAACCTGGAATTAAGGAGAAACTTCCTAACAGGAACCAGTGGAACAGGTTGCCTCCAGAAGTTGAGGGTGCTCCATCACTGGAGGATTTTAAGAAGAGACTGGATAGCCATCCATCTGAAATGGGATACAGGTTCTCCTGCTTGAGCAGGGGGCTGGACTAGAAGACCTCCAAAGTCCCTTCCAGTTCTATTCTATTCTAAAACTCAAATGGAGAAAGGAAGATGAGGAGCCAACAGAGTAGGTTGGCCAGATAGCTGTGCAGAGGGTTTTTAGCTTCCTTTTTGTAAGAACAATAGGTTCTGCAATAGGTTTTACTGGGTCCCAATGGGCTGGCACACAGCTCTGTTTTTCTTACAAGGTTACTTGTTCCTAACAGGCTGCTGCTATGGTTGCCAATTCTTACAGCAGCCTTTACCATGTCCCAGTGGCTGGCACAGAATTCAAAGGGGAACACGGCTCCACTCTTTTAAAGAGGTTCTTTTTGAGGGGATTTTCCTGACAAGCTCCAGACCTGCTGAACCACAAAGGGATTCAGCTGTATGGGAAGCCAGATGTGGATACCTTGAAGGAAAATGGAGCCTCCAAGTTCCATTCACGGGTGCCAAATGTAAGGTTTGAGAATACATTGAGACCCAAAGAAGTTTGAAAACACATCCAAGTCACAATGAGCCCAACATGAGACTCAAAGGGAGGCTTGAATAACAATCAGCGTTTAATCTTTGATCAAAGCTTAAAGACATGATGGTCAGTTGTTCCCAACATACCCCAAAGATACACAGGGAAGAACTGCCCTTCAGAGAAGGTGTGGCTCCTTTTTATGCAGCTAGAGACATCATAGAATAACATCCTGGCTTTACAATACTCCTCACTAGCCTCATCAGCATTATCTCTTTCCTCTGTTCCCAGGATTGGCCCTTTGGCCCCCTGTTGGGAAGGGCATAGATCAAAAGTGAGATACCTTCTCAGGCAGAAGTGGGACATATCAAAGGAGTCAGATTTGCAGCTCTTTACAGCTCCATTCCGGGATAAATTCTATGCCCATAGATTGCAGATTGAGAAAGAGATCAAATGGCAAAGATGACACGTTTTGACATTGGCCAGATATTCTAAAGACCCTAATAACGCTGCTAGAGGGAGTCAGTTGCAGGGAACAAAAGGCACTGACAGCATGCAAGCTTCTATGTTGCAAACACAAGGCATAATATCTGTGTGTTACAGTTTGTATCCTTATTACTATTCCTAATAAGTCTCTTCCTTCTTCCCATCCCTCTTTCAGGCCAAGAGCAGAGAGGAGGAAGGCACAGAAAAGGGGGTCTCGATTAACGCCCCCTCCCCAACTCCCAAAGGGCTCGTATTAAGCCCGGCCGTTTCCTTTTCTCCCAGCCGCATTTCAGAAAAGCCGCTTACCGAGAAGGCCAACTTCTCCAGGAAGTGCGAGATCCCGCCGGGGAACTTGGCTTCGTATCTGGAGCCGGAGTTGATCAGCACTGGTCCCGGGGCAGAAGGAAGAGGAGGGGGAGGAAGGTCAGCCGCGGGCCCCGGAGTCGCTTCGGCCGCCCACGCGACCCCCTCGCCGCCGCCCCCCCCCCTGGCGCCCTCTTACCGCCCAGGGTGCAGAACTGGCCGAACCTCTTCTGGGAGGCCACGCGCAGCCCGCCCTCCAAGGCGCTGACCTCCGTCTCGAAGCCCTCCGGCCCGTCCAGGCCGGCGAAAGCCGGCTTGGGCAGCCCCGGCAGAGGGGCCGTCAGCGGGGTGCCCGGGTAGCCGCCCCCGCTGCTGAAACGCCGCGACCCGGCCAGCCTGAAAGAGGAGAAGAAGAGGATGAGATCCTCGGCACTGGGCAGGCCTGGAGCCCCCGGGATGGGAAATAAGCCTGAAAAGCCCTCCCCAGAAAAGCCCCCCTTCAGCTGGAGGACATGAAACTCGAGGCCAAGGCCTCACCTCCGCGCCGGGCCCAAAAGGCCCCTCCGCACCGCGCTGGCTGCCATCTCTCTCTCTCTCTCTCTCTCTCTCGTCGAGGGAGGAGGAGGAGGACGCCGATTGGTCGCTCGGGTGACGGCGCCGGCGATTGGCGTAAGAGTCCCGCCCCCTCCACTTCCGGAATCGGAACGGCGACGGAAGGAGTTTTAGGATTCGGCGACGGAAGTACCCGCAGGTGCAGTTTAACCGCGGGGCATGCTGGGAAACGCGGGAGGCGGGAGGGGGGGAAGTCAAGAAGACTGGGGAGGTCAGGAAAGGAACAAACCGTGGTTAACGCCACAGACCATCATTTCGTACAGGAGCCATGAATGGCTTTGAAAAGATACTCGGGGTGGAAAATAATTGAAAGAGTATATGAATCAATATTTGCTTTTATTATGAATTGCTTATGTTACCATATAATTGTTACTGATTAAACCAATATTTGCTGTTTGCTTCTGATATGATATCCTGCTAGAAATCATTTATGTGGAATTAAGTTTTGTCATTGGCTTAAGCTTATATTATTGTAT